CTCTCTCCCAGAGAAGAGTTCATTCACACCTTAAGTCCAAGCAGCCAAGATCATTTGTTGTGTTGTTTAAGTATCCAGTAGGCTGTGGGTAATGAAATTTCTGAAGAATCCTGAATTTCAGTGAATTTGAATTAAATTCTGCTTAAAGTTTCAACTAAATACTGTACTTTACCATATAATTTGCTTACCACTTAGTACTAGTAAGCCATAAGAAAGCAATCATAAATTAACAAGTTGGGAAACCACAAACAGCTAAATGAAGGTGGTTAGTCAAATTTAACTTAAATATGAAAACAATAAATAAAATATCAAATCACATAATGAAACCATCTTATCACATTGGTGAAACTAGGAATTCTCTCCCCACAATGATCATAAGGTGGTAAAAATATCAATTCTCAAAATTTATAAAAATCCCATTAATAATGGGTCAGCCTGTGTTATATTGAGGACCATCTAGATCTCAAGCCAGCTGGAAACTCATAAGAGTGAAGACTCAAGGTAATCTGATTTTCCTCTGGTGCTAGAAATTTTATTTCCTTTTTTTCTCTTTGACATCATAAATCAAATTAGATGATTAGTTAAAAAAAAACACAGAGTACTTTTTTCTAGCATCTTAAATTATGCATATTCTTTCCCTACTCCCCTATTGCCCCACTTGCTCTATTTTACCTCTTATTTTACAGTTGACACTGGAGTGGAGTGGTTTTAAAAACTTTCCAGAGGTTTTGCTTATACTTAGCCCCTACATTTAATAAGAAACAAAATTGTGTGATTAAAAGAACAACTTTCATACAAAGCATAGTAGGAATAAATGTTGAATTCAGTGAAAGAATATAATGGTTATCAGAAGGAACAGGGTGCAAAGAGGAGGAATAGGAGACAGGCTGATGGGATTTGGACACTGGCAGTCTGATGGAGGGTGATTGGAAAAATAAGTGAATAAATACCTCCCTACTCAAAATCCAAAAAACAGATAACTTTGCTATTCTATCCTCAGAAAACCTGGCAGCTGAATTAAGTGTTTATCATGTTTATACAAATTCATGTTAAATATATTATGTCTTTAGAAAATAGCTACCTGTGGCCCCATTTTCCTTCAATTCCCCAAGATATAGCCAGAGTCTAAGATACAATGAGACATCCTTTCAAATGAAATTTCCCAAGAAACGAAAGAAACCATCTTCCCTTTGTATTTTTTTTTAAAGATTTATTTATTTGTGCATACAGAACTGGGGTACAGGCCAGAGACGCAGGGGTGGCGAAAGACTTCACCAGAGACAGAGTAGGGAGCAGAACAGGCAGATCGACGAAGTACACTGCTGAGGGGAGCAGCGGGCGGGTCAGGAGAGGTCTGCCGCGCCATGTGGTCACCTCTGGAGCAGGTGGGAATCGAACTCATGTGGAAGTGGTTTCAGCTTCTTAGTGCAGTGCTTTAACCTGCTGCACCACCAGGGAGGGCCATTTCCTTTGTATTCTTAAATGATTAACTCTTTAAGATGAGTCATGTTTACTTATTAGGAGCCATTAAGCAATTCTAGGACAATGCTGACACCAACCCAAAGAGTTGAGACAGTTAATACTCTCATTTCACAGAAGAGACTTGAGGCCCCAATAGACAGTCATTAGCTGTTCTCTGTTGCTAATGGCAGCAAATCCTACACTTTGATCTAGAATTTATCCTCATAGCCATCATTTACACTTGCAAAAGCTCTTACTTTCTGAAAATGTTGTTTCTTAGCACCAGCACTGAGAAATAATACTGTGCCCTTATGGTCGTCACAGACTTAGGGCACTACCCATTAGTCATATCTGTGTGTTTCTCCAGTGTCTGGACCTTCAGGCTGCATCAGGTGATTCAGTTTAATAGGAGGTTGTGCTTGTTTTCTAGGGTTCCAGTAAGTCAATACCACAGACTGGGTGATTAGAAAACAAAATTCCTTTTCTCACAATTTTGGAGGTCAGAATCTAAAATCAAGTTGTCATCAGGAGTATTCTCTCACTTAGATATCTAGAGGAGAATTCTCCCTTGCCTCTTCAGGCATCTAATAGTCCGGGTGTTCCTGCACTTGTCTTCACCTTTGTACCAGCACTGTGTTATCCACAGCTGTGCAGTCCAGGTCATCATGGCATGTCTCTCCTTCCAAACTTTCTTTGCAGTCAGTGTTTTTAAACCCCACTTTTATAAATATGAGATTGAGATTAAATAATAAAGTGTGAAGGGGCAATAAAATTTTTGAAAGTGGTATACTTTCTTTGTCTCTCTTTCATTTTCACAGGCTCAGGTGCTGCTCCTCATATTCACATTGAGCCTGGTAACACTAGGGAAGTTAAGCTCACCTGTACATCCACCGGGTGGTACCCAGAGCCTGAGGTACAATGGAGGGACCAACAAGGAAAGCGTCTGACACCAGGCTCTGAGACAATTGCACCAGAAAGAAATGGACTATTTCATGTGGAAACATCTATAACGGTGGATAAAAGTTCAAGTGGAGTCATGTCCTGTCTCATAAGGAACCCAGTCCTCTTTGAAGAGAAGGAAGCACACATTTCTGTGGCAGGTCAGTTCCCTCCAGAGTCAGTATACTGAGTTATCACTGCTGATCAGGAAGGTCTGACTGTCACAGACCTTTGATGAAGGACCTAGAAGGATGCTCTAGTTTGTCCATTGCCACTCTTCTGTGGAGAGCTAGTAAATATTCATCTTGCCTTGTTTTGTATTTCTTTGTAACAGAAAAGCATAATTATTTTACTTTATAAAAACTAATGCATAGATGCATAAAAGCATTAAAATGTTAATACTTTGAAATACTTTGAATCTGTCAAAGTTCTTTCTAAACTTCTAATCCTACTACCTATGGAAAGACACTTTTAACAATTTGGCATTTTGCTGCAAATGGCATGCATTTATCTTTTTGATTGCTGAATAGTATTTCATTGTGTATATATAACACATCTTGATCCAGTCATCTGCACTAGAAGGGATTATGCTCAGAAAGTAAGTCAGCAGGAAAAAGTATCAGATGGCTTCACTTACAGGAGGAATAAAGGGAAACCAAACAAGGGATCGTAAAAAAAGACAATACTAACAGGCATTCATCAAGGGAGGAGAAGTAAGAGGGAACAAAACAGGGAAAGGAAGAGCACAGTAGAGTATGGTGATGGTTCACAGGTGTCTTGGTGGTGGTAACTTTATGGGCATTACACCTGAGAGAAGAAATCAAACTTGAACAAAAATGAACAGTGATGTAAAAATATATAAATAAAAAAAACCCCAAACACTTTGTGAAATAAACAATAATAAAATAGACACAAACTTGAAAAATGAATTGGTGCTTTTATCCCATCCATCAAATTCTAGAAGTTCCACCTACCAATTTTGTGATCTTCCTGTACCCAGGTCCCAGCTGTTAAATAGGGATCATAATGTTATCTTCCTTATAAGATAGTTATAATGATTAACTCATAGCAATATGACAATTCACATCACAGACAGAAAATAGCTCAGATACCCCATCTACTCTCAGTGACTTCCTAATTAGTGCTCAAGAAAAGTTTGCCCAAGTGATCTGCAATTTCTCTTAACAGCAATTTTCTTTTTGAAATACCTCAGCCTGTCAGCAAGACCATTTCTTGTCCTATTTTTCCTCTCCAGCCTCATTTGTCATCACTCTCTTCCCTTCTCTCTCCCATCTCTCCTACCTTACTTCAAGCTGGCTATGTCCTCAACTATGTACTATTAATATAGGCTGCTGCTAGCATCATTTTTTCTACTTTTCTGTAACTAGGGATTTCCTACTGGTCTTTCAAGACCTAACCCTCTCCTCCTTTCCACTGATCTGTTCAGTGCCCTCTTCACTCTCACATTATTTTGATTACATGTTTCACTATCTCCCCAGGTGGACTCTATCTTACTTTTATATTTCTATTACTCAGTAAAATACTAACTCATAATATATTTTGTGGTATATATGAATTTTAAAAATGTATGACTTTATTCAACAAGTAAAATGCTCCTTGTGTTTTAGATTGAAAAGTCACGAAGTAAAATGCTCCTGTGTTTTAGATTGAAAAGTCACGCAGATTTGAGATAATTATAAGGTAAAACTTTGAAACTAGAAATAGCAAACACAAATCTGTGAGGAGCATATTTTTCAAATAAACATACAAAAACAAAGTTAAAGGAGGGAAAATTAACCAATTTGGAATTTTATATTGAAGAAAGGAGTTGAAACATTTAAAAGGGAACAACAGATTTCAGGAAAGCAAAAATCAATAAATTCAAGTTCTAATAGAGAATTAAAAGTCAGAATACATTAAAAAATTAATATTTGCTAAATTTTGATTGTGGGTAATTTGACATCTAATGCATTATTTTATTAGTATTGACATCATTTATACAATAATCCCTCTGAGTGTCCATACATTACAAGGAAGAAAGGAAACAGGAACTTTTTATTTTTATAATATAATAGTTTATTTTTACATCATTTAATACATTTTTTTAATCTCAATTGTAATCCCTGTGGGTTTCCCATCACTGAGTCACCCATGTGCCATCACCATAGTCCCGTGACTTCCCTCCCTCCTCCCCCCGTTTTTGATCCCATTCCCCACTCCACCCCCACAAAATATCTCTGGTATATAGCTGTTCATTATTCTTATTTATTTTCTCGCCTGGTCCATTATACTCCTGCTATGAGTGAAACCATCCGGTATTTTTCTTTCTCTTTCTGGCTTATCTCACTAAGCATGATCTTTTCTAGCTCCATCCAAGTTGCTGCAAAAGACATGTGGAAAACAGGAACATTTTTAGGATACCTGAGACCCTTTAAGTTGCTGGGAGGAGTGGGTGGAGTTTAGAATTTCTTCTCTTCCTAATGATACCCCCAGGAGAAAATACTCTGGGATTCACTCCCACAGCCTAGTCACTTAATGTCAAGCTGGACCTTAAGAGTGAGATCTATTTTCAGATGCCTTGTTCCCCTGGTCTTATCCCTGGATGGTGCTGTTGTCTGTGCTGCTTACTCTTCTGACTGTTGCTGCAGCCTTTGGTGCTGTCTACACTGTGCGAGTTAAAGGTAAGTGAGGAAAGAAAACCCAAAGGTAAGTGGGGGAAGAGAGTAGGGAAGTGGGATGAAGGGAATCAGCACCATTGGTGGACAAATCAAACACTATAGCAATAAGAAAGCCGAAATGACTAATAGGGAATTTTTAGCTTTTAAAATTAAGAAGAAAAATACTTGAAAAGAGAGATTAATTCTATCTGCACAAGCCTGGCTCTGCATGTTTGTGAGATAATGGAAGTTGTCTGGCCAAGGGCAGTTATCCCATCAAGAAAAAGATGCATAGGGGACTTCCGGAAGATGGCGGCAGAGTAAAGACGCCGAGATCACCGCGTCCAAGCCTGCATAGGAATTGAGGACTGAAAACGGACTATAGACTCACTTACTACAAGTTTCAACCCAAATGAAAACACCTTATCACTAGAAGGTAGATAACTGAGAGGGAATCAGCGATTGGGGAGCTCCCAAAAGGGAACTCCCAGGAAAACCCAGGCCCCTGGAAGTTCTGCAGGCTGCAGGAGTCGCTTTGCCCCACCCTAAACCCTGGAGGTAAAGCTGGACAGCTCAGCTCAGTGAGAGGAGCCCAGGCTGCAGAAAGACTGCAAATCTGATCCTCAATACCTGGGTGAGGGAAAAACCACTGAAACTGCAGACCTGATCCGGAGCACCTGGGCTCCGGCAAAGCCGCTGATTAGCTCGACCAGCTCAGGGACCGTCAAGATAGCTGCAGAATAAAGACACCAAGACGACTTCATCCAAACTCGCACGGGATTATACAAAAAACGGACTATAGACTTTCATGCTACAAGTTTCAACCCAAATGAGAACGCCCTGGACTCACTAGAAGAAAAATAACCGAGGGGGAACTGGGCGATTGGGGAGTTCCCATAAGGGAAGCCGCACAGGCAGGAACTGATCTGGGAATACCAGCGGCTTCCCACTCGCTCGGCTCCTTTAAAAATCTAGGCAGCTGCTGAGGACAGGAGGACCGCAGGAAGCCTGCAGAGGGAAAACTGCCTGAGGTGGCAGCTGCAGCTGCTCTGCAGCCTTTTGTCCCAGCCCTGCTACACCCTGGAGATAAACTGAGACAATTCAGC